CCCCCCATGGAGAAAGGCAGACCTGCAGGCTGCATACAATGTCGCTGAGATCACTTGTACAAAATAAGCAGCGGCTCCTCCGCTGTACATTTAGCTCTGCATGCCCAAAGCAGGGCTAAATGTAGAAAACAACTACCCGCCTGAGCATTGGGAGATAGGAATTCCACACCCTGCTGCCCCCTTACTCCCTGCTGCCCCTCTACTCCCTGCTACCCCGAGGCCGGGCCTTGGTTGGCCTTGTGGGAAATCCAGCCTTGGTTGCGAGTCTTCTTTCCTGGAGTCTTTTTAATCTCATTTATCAACACCATTACACTAGCAACATACATCTGGCACAAATATATCCCATGCAACAGTATGCGAGTTCAAACACTCGCAATTGCTATGAGAAATTCCCCCCTGTGTATTTAACTGACAGATTGTAGAGACTGATATGACTGGCTTGGTGTCCTCTGTACAACACTGCGGTATATGTCAGAGCGGTATAATACTAATAGTTTGTGGCTGTGGGGGGGACATTAGAGTGTGAGCTCCCCTGTAGAGAGATTGATGTGACTGGCTCACTGTTCTCTGAACAGAACTGCAGTATATGTCAGAGCTATATAAATGTATAATAATAGTGTGTGACTGTGGGGGGACATTAGAGTGTAAGCTCCTCTGTACAGAGACTGATGTGACTGTGGGGGGGGACATTAGAGTCTGAGCTCCTCTGTACAGAGACTAGTGTGTCTGGCTCAGTGTTCTCTGAACAGAACTACAGAATATGTCAGAGCTATATAAATGTATAATAATAGTGTGTGACTGTAGGGGGACATTAGAGTGTAAGCTCCTCTGTACAGAGACTGTTTAGGACTGGCTCAGTGTTCTATGTACAGCACTGTGGTATATGTCATAGCTATATAAATGTATAATAGTGTGCGACTGTGGGGGGGACATTAGAGTGTAAGCTCCTCTGTACAGAGACTGATGCAATTGGTTATATAAATGTATAATAGTGTGTAAGCTCCTATGGTGGAGAGACTGATGCAATTGGTTCAGAGTTGACAAATAGTGAAGAATATGTCCGATCAGTGTGCAATGCTGATTATGTACCAATTATCATTTCAGGCTGTGTTCTCCTCTGTGTTTTACTTTGCCTCCGTTCCTCTCTACCAAGGATTCCTCATCATTGGGTAAGTACATTACATTACTAAATGGATGAGCTGTAAGATGATTCTAACCAATGCAATGTTAGGTGTTGCCAGCTGTAAATCCTGCCCTGTATACCAATGCCACTAGTCTCCTCCTTACTGACTAGAGAAATAGTAGCTGAGAGACATGTTGCCTGTGTCTAGTGCTGTGGGGGGACAGGTACTCTTTAGCATTCACCTTACATTGTTTCCTTCTGCCAGGAAAGAAGGCCGTGTTTTCCTATTCACTATGGTGGATTCGTTATTTTAACTGCATTTAGTATTTTATTTAATGATCATTTTCTCTTTAAATCGGTCAGTTCACAAACATTGAAATGTTTTTATTTAACCACTAAGGGCCTTCATTTCATAAATGTATTATTAAATCCTCCTCTAATAGCTCCTTTTTTCCTGCTCTCCTCAATAGTCACCTCGCCTAAAGATAGCGGCATTTTAGAAAGTGATAATCCATGCAATATTCTTTGTTAACCGACTTTTTCATTCCGGATACTACAAAAAAATACATCTGTGCATTCAATTCTGATAGCATACGAGTGGATTGGAAAAAAAAGTCAAACTTGACAATAGAAGTGGAGATTTGGTGCATGCCATGCTTTAGTAAACGTGCCTTCCACTTTTCTATGCGAGAGGCTCCTCAGCCTCCAGCTAGCGCAGCAATGTCAGTTCTCGCGCTGAGCAGCCATTCAGAACATGCTGCCTGGCGCCGATTGTCAGCTTGAGGTGGGATGGGCTGAAGCTTTGGCTGCGAGGGAGCTCCATCCATACGTGCACGTGCATTGCTTACAGCTTCCTCACGTGTCCTATAGAGCGGACCAGACCAGAGTGACGTCGCATTCTAGCTCCTGGCACCTCTACAGGGTGCACAAGGGAGTTGTACAAGCAATTCTGGTGTGGGAGGTGCATTGCATTGCCATTTATTTGAATGGCATCCCAAACGCACCTCTGGTCCACAGTTCAATCGCCTGCCTGGAACGCCTGGTACCGCAATGTTGTGCGTTCCATTGCAGTGCGATTTAGGTCGCGGATTAATGACCGAGGACAAATGTGGGTCCTGAGGTTACACAGGTTGAGAACCACTGCTTTAGAATATTCTAAGAGCACACGAGTCACGAGGGCTGCATGTTCAGAAGTATTTACGTAATGGATCCATTTGGTCCTGAATACAGGGACCAGACCTTGTTTGGTGCACCCTGCGTTCAGGACCACATGGTTATTTATACATCATCATGCAGAGCTGTATCATCCACAGTTCAGAAACCGAGGAACTGGAAAAAAAAACCTGAAGAATAAACTTGACCCATTTTAAACTTAAAATTTCCCTTTAATCGCTAAGGAAGATCTACAAACATGTGTCCGGTGTTCTTACCATGCCTAAGGCCTTTATAGCAGCATATTTAGAGAAGAACATTTATTTGGCAAATCAAATCCATGAAGGAAGAGATGAGATATTCTGCAAAAAAACAAAAACAAATGAGAAGGTTAAAATCAGAATTTTGGTCCAAGCAACCAATCAGATAAAATCCCAGATCTTGCTGCTTGTGTATTAAACCGCACCACTCACAAACATTTACAAGCAATTATTTAAAGTCTTATGTACCAACATGTTCTTGTTATATACTGGGATATGGTAGGATTATGTATACTGTAATATTTCCCCATCAGATCCAAACTTCCAGGGTAGGTTTGATGATTACTATGGGTTGAGGAGAATTAACTCTGGTATACTGTATGGCCAAATGTTTGTGGACTGCTTGAGTTCAGGTGTTTCCAGTGATTGTTGCAGCATGCCAAATTATTGCAGACAATTGTGCTTTTCCATCCATGTGGTAATAGTTGGGTGAAGGTCTTTTTCTGTTCCACCATGACTGTGCCCCTGTGTACAAAGCCAGCTCAATAAAGACATAGGGGTCTATTCACAAAGCTGCCGAAGAATATAACCGTAGCTTCGGCTGATCCTTCGGCTAGCTTCGGCCCCAGGACCCCTTCGGTTCAGCAGAACCGAAGGGCTGCTGTACGGGCTATTCACTATAGCCCGTACAGCTCCCGAAGTCGGCCGGGCGGCTCAGTCGAGCCGAAGGCATATGCTTCGGCTCGACTGAGCCGAGGTGAAAGCCGAAGCTGGCCGAGCCATTGGCCGGCAGACTGCTTCTGACAGCTGGGTGGAGCCAGCCGTGATGTTACGGCTGGCTCCGGCCACTTGCAGAGAGATCAGCGTCCCTGGTTAACAGCTAACCAGGGACACTGATCTACAGACAGCCTAACACTGCTTTTTCTTTTTTATTCTGACACGGAGCCGTTTGTCTGGCGTCGGAATAAAAAAAAAATGTTTTCACCATAGGAACGCCTTGCTAGATTCCTATTGGCTATTTCAATTTGCAATAGCACCCGCAGCACTTACGGCAGCTTAGTGAATAGACCCCATAGTTTGATGAGTTTGGTGTGGAGGAACTTGAGTGTCCTGCACAAAGCCCTTACCTCAACCTTACTGAACACCTTTTGGGATGAATTGGAACACTAATTGCAAGTCAGGTCTTCTCCTCCAACATCAGTACCTGACCTCACAAAAGTTATTTTGGCTGAATGGGCGCAAATTCCCACCTAAATCCAAAAGAAGATTGGCAGCTGTCATAGCTACAAAGAAAGGCCAACGCCAAATGAATGCCCATGGTTGTTGAATGGCATGTCCAACAAGCTCAATGGTCAGGAGTCAACTGACGTTTGACAATGTTGTATATGCAGGGCACTTGGTGAGCAAGCAGAATGTCAATGAAAATGCAACATAGTAAACAGCCCCAATGCTGAGCTTATCATTATTAAAATAGTAACAGTTCATATAAACCAAGAACGTTAAGTACATTTTCGTCATAGGTCTTTCATGGATCTGCAGTGATGAGAAACGCTGTCGTCTTTCTCTTTGATAAAAGTTAAACCTGCTTTTGGCAGCCAGGAAGCTGGCTGGGAAATGAATGAATTAGCGCCGAGTTTTGTTTTTGTGTAAAGAAAACTCTTTTTAGTTATGTCCAGCATTGGATCGGGAAGGAGTTTGAAGGCCATAAAAGGATTAATTGCTTACTATTTTCATATCTCTTTATTCCACCCTTCCTGACCGGCCTTGTACAGTATAACAGTTCGTGGCGAGGCCAGTCCACCCAGCCCACTGCTTTCAAAGAGCGCAGGTCTTTGAATCCGCAGTCCCCAGGGACATTCGTAATGTAGTCAGGATAAGGAATGGGCCTTTGCCTAAACCCTCCCCGGCCTCGCACGGCTATTGTGCTGTGGGATTTCTGTCAGGAAAAGCCGTACATGTGAGTCACGCAGGGCAAGAAAAGATTTAATATCTGCATTTTCTTTTAATCAGATTTGATCTTTTTAATCAAGGTTTGTACAGGATTGGAGTCATGAACCTCGGCCTGGCTCTTGTTGTTGAACATGAGTTCACTACAAGTTTCTTATACATTTGGATCCATGTTAAAATTGAACACAAAATTTACTCTGCGTGTGGCCATTTTGAATAATAAACCACCATATCCAAAACCCCAATTCCATACAGCAGGGGTAGCCAAATGTCAGCCCTCCAGCCATAAGGCACTGCAAGACTCTGATCGTTACAGGCATGACTCCCAGAAGCATGATGGGATTTTTTAGCTCCACCGCAGCTAGAGGGTCAGCGTTTGGCTACCCCTGCCATACAGCTTTCAGTTATGGAAATAGAAACAAATATAGGTCATCACCAATTTCACAGCAACTTAAAAAGCAGACGTCGCTTAGGGCTGGAGTCTGTGATCTTCCTTCCTAGTTATTGACTCTTCACCTTCACAAGGTCCCAGTTCAGGCAACCCTGTTACATGGTGACAACGCTCTTTCCTCATCTCTAAACTGTGCTCCTGAATTGTCACCATGTCATATGGTCTCCCTGTGGCGACTACAAGCTGCCATGCTGATGCACATGGCATAGTCATGGCCTACTGTTTCACCATCAGGAAATCCCCCACCTAAATTCCACATAGCCATCGATTGTGATGCCAAGAAACAGTATTTTTTTAAAAAGGTAATTATGATGCGCATTGCTTTAGCAAAATACATTTAATTCCATCTGGGTTTACATCTGCTTCCAATATTAGCAATAAAAACCAGAGGACCTTAAAATAGCTTAGAAAGTAATTATTCCAGCTGGCTGTTCTAACTGGACGGCTTGGAATATCATTTGTATCCAATCAAACGGGTCTGCTTGTTGCTTAATCAAAATTATACAGACAGCAGATCTGTGTACAGTGAACTCCATCTCTTGCCAATTATGGATGACATAACATGTGTGAGTGGAGTGAAATGGGAGGGGGAGCATAGTGTGGGTGTGCAGTAACCCATAGTAACTCGAATACAGCACTTCAAAACAGTGCAATGAAAGCTCATTTCTGATTGGTTGCTTTTGGTCATTGTGCACCACTATTGGAAGTAAAGTGCTGCTAAATGAGTTCACCTGAAATGAATAGGAGGTTTTAGGGTCATCATGCGTTTTATAGCCAATGGTTTTACAAAATGTGCTCTAACAGAACGTCTTTCTCTGCAGATATTCCACTATCTACACCATGTTTCCTGTCTTCTCTCTGGTTCTCGATAAAGACGTCAAGTCCGAGGTGGCCATGTTGTATCCTGAACTGTACAAAGATCTGCTAAAGGTAAATGCTTATTTCATGAAAATCTTTTGGAATAGTTGCTGGGTACAGCCATGTGGGTTTTTAGATTGTAAGCTCCCACGGGCAGGGCCCGCCTTACCATCTTGTCTTGAATTGCATTGTGACTGTAATGTCTTCCTTATATTGTACAGCGCTGCGCAAGCTGTTGGTGCTCTATAAATCCTGTATAATAATAATAATAATGTGGGTGCATATTGGCAACAAGCTCAGCCAGAAGCAGTGCACAAACAGGCTTCCATTCAGTAAAAGTGTAGTAACCCATAGTGACCAATCTTCCTCCAGTAAAACGGCTGCTGCAGGTAACTAAATGTTTCCATTCAGTTTTGCTCTTTGTATCTCGCTGTATAAGTGTGAAGATGCTCATGTGTCATCAGCCTAACCAGATGGACCTCAGATAGAGCTGTGAATGGGAAACGTTTTAAGCGGAGCCCCGTTTACATCTGTGCATTGCAGTAATGCATGATCTTTGTTGTGTTGGCACCCTAATGCACTATTACGGTAGGCTGCAGTAAGCTAAGACATAACCTCTTTTTTTTTAATGTAGCACACCACGACAAATGGAATGTGTTGTGGTGTGCCATGTTAAAAAAAAGGGTTATGTCCTATTTACCATGAATTGGCGTACCATTCAAAAGAAATGGGATGTTTAAATGCAATGCACCACAGTGGGCTGGAGACGTGTTAGAGGGAGGCTAAAGCTGAACACCAGGCACCACAATTTTAACATATTTTTAGGCATGTTATTATCACTTTACCTCCGTGGGGTACCATAAAATTCTGTTTATGAACACCAGTGATGGTGTCATGCCCTTCGTCCCTGTGTAAACTTTCCCATTCCCAAACGCCTGCGATCACAGCCTGTGATGACGCTGCACATGTGATCCAGGGACATACGGTCAGGTGAGGCAGAGCCTAGTATTCAAGTCTGAAGCTGACAGCTTTTTCTCCATTCAGACCGGCTTGTAACAGGTTACATAGCAGGGAAAGCCTCCCCGCTGTGTAACCTGTCATGGAGTGAGCACTGCCTGTTCATTCCAGGCGGCGCTGCATCCGGCTTTTGACAGGTAGTTAGGTTACACAGCAACGGGCTTCCCCAGTGCTTGTGTAACCTAACTAGTGAGGCAAGAGCCATCACAGCCTCTACTCCATGTTAGAGGCTTGAGCTCTGTGGATGGTTTGGACCAAAAGCAAAGCACCATTGGTCCAAGCTGTCCAATCAAAAAAAAAAAAGTGAAAAAAAAACATTGAGGACATCGATCTTTGATGTCTCACTATTGATTAGCAAGTGAGGGACTGTCTCCTCCCTTCCTCCTTCACACGTAGCTTGGTGACTGAGTTTGGGGCGGGGTGTGTTGGCGGGGGGCTGGGGGAATGCCTCACCCAGCACAGAAGGAACCGCACATCACTGACGTAATAACACATGGACATACAGATGCAGTATCATTACATGAAAATGCAAATGTACAGAAGAAGTGGTATCAAGAGGTTCAAATATAAGCATAATTGATATGCAGTTTAAAGTTAAAAAACGTGATATACCAGAGAGGTACGGAGATAATAGGTCTACATGGATTAAAGGAGAACTATGAGGTGGGTGATTTTCACTCACCTCATAGTTCTAGCTGACCTGTGACAATGAGACGCTCACAGGTCGGCTCAGTAGATCGGGAGGTGAGCGAACACATACAGGCATTCGCTCACCTCTCGATCCTGTCACGGCTCTCTGCCGTGACAGGGGAGGGGCTGG